TGTGCTGAGGGCGAGCCACGGCCTGGAGCTCGGCCAGAAGAAAAGAGCAGCAAGGCCCATGCGAGAGGTTAAGCTGTGAGACGCTACTGGGAGACCTTCAGCTGTGTACGAGGGAGACCGAAGAGATCCAGACGCCATCGCGGTACCCATGGTGCCAGGACAGAGCCGAGGGGCCAAAGGGACCCACATGGTACCCGTGCTCCCTCCAATGCTCCCCCTTTGTGCGTGTAGCGGAGGCTGTCGCCCAGCGCGTGGCCTGCTGCCCTCCCTGCAGTTACAAATATGAAGCGGTATCGCCGGCTCCCACACCAACACTGTTGACCAAGCCAGGCTGCAGCAATCTCTGCTATGTGACAAGGACAGCAGAGTCTCACTACAGAAGGCTACCTCTTACCTGGAAACAGAAGGCTTGTTTTTGCCCGAAAGCTCCTAATACACAATTCCAGCCTCACATCAAGCTATTTTTGGTCACTTTTCAGAGCACAATCACATTTAAATCTTTTGTCCTTAAGGAAAACCCTTTGTGCTTCTGCACATTAGCAGTACAGAGCAGCATTGCCAGGAAATGAAGTATCATCTGGGAAAGCTGCCCAGGTGTTGAGCTGTCGTGCCCTCCTTAGCTAGGAGCACTCCTGCAAGGGCACCCTCGCTTACTACGAGGTCCTGGGCATGCAGAAGGGTCTTGGTATGGGTAAGGTTTTTAGCTGGGGAGTCTAGGAATAGCCCCCTACTTTTCCGCTTTAGACGTGAGCTCTGATGGACTCAGCTAAGACATAAGCAGCAGTTGCACGGGATACGGACCTCAGCTGTACCATAGCAGCACGTTTGAGCCTTTTGCCCCATTGGATTTTTTTTTAAACAGTTCTTGAGGATGAAAATGTTGCTGTTCTTTGGTAGATACAGAAATCTGTCAGCAGAGTTCCCCTGCCCTACTAACACCGACATACAAATGGGAACATTTTAAGCACATTTTAACCTGACCTCCAACCTGACCCACTGCATGTACCAAAACGGCAACGCGTCTTCGTAGCAGCTTTTCTTTTTACTTTCCACAGCAGTAAACTAGTCTCGCATCCCTTGAATCCCAGTCCACCTACGTGCTAAGCCCCACCACCTTGGAGAGCACGGGCAGCAGCCCGGGGAACGCTGTTCATTAGTACATCGCTATGAAACTCTCAAGTTGCTTCTCTCAAAGAATATAAAGTTCAACACATTCTGCACATGCTTGTTGGTTTCTCAGTTATACAGTAAACACAGGAACAAACTGTTCAATAAAGCATCGATTTGTTTTGAACGCAGCCCCTTCTCGTTCTGTTCTTCTGTTCCATTTCTCTCAAGGTCCTCTTCCAGCCAGCAGCACTGAAGTGACGGAGGGCGAGCGCGCGGGCGGTGCGTGACGGCAGAGCGAGGCAGAAAGAGGCACTTTTGTTTGGCTGGTGTTTGGTGACGTCCCTCTCCCCGTGGAGGCTCGCGCTCCGGACGCTAGATGGTAGCGCTCCCGCAGAAACCCGCTCCGGGTAGTAGGCACTTGGCAACAGGCTCCAAGGCGGCGCCCCGCGCTCTGCTATGTCATCAGGATCGGCTTCTGCCGCACTTCCAGGATATCTGCACGGGAGACAGGCAAGGAGGGAACAGGGCAGTGAGGTCAGGCAGCCTCTGGAGGCACCTACGGTGCGAGAAAGTGGGAGGGCGACCGCAGAGGCAATTCTGCGCCCCCAAAAGGATTCAAACCACCACCGGGTGTATTAGCGAAGCCCGTGCCCATCCTTCCACGCACATCCTAGCTAAACAGAGCGGGGACCACCAGTACAGGCACTCAGGGAAAGATGATGGTCATCTCCGGATGTTATTTACACTGGGATGGAACAGCACTTGTCACATATGCACAAAGGAGGGATCCTTCAAATAAAAAAAGCCTAAGAGGCATCACAGGAGAAACCACAGATTTTTCTCTTCTTGCTGGGAGAAACGTACCACACACCAGCCCCAGAATGCTGCCTTCCTTAAAGGGATTTTGGCTCTGGGGATCTGGACACAAGCAATTCAACTGTTTCATGCCTTTTAACCTGAAGCCTACATCTCTGTGCTCAAAAAGCTGCCACAAGAACATTTTCCTGTTGGTTCTGGCTACGGTATGCCTTCCACTGCATTGTCTGAATACAAAACAAACTTGTAAAACCTCCTGTCGTAATCACGGGCATCTGGGAGGGAAAAACTGGAGATTAAAAATCTGCCTTAGAGCCCAGACATCTCACATATCAAAAAAAAAAAAAAAAAAAAAAGTCTCTCTTCACAGGCACCTGCAACCCTGTGCTAAACAAACAAGGCCTCAGAAAACGTGTTGAAGCAAAAAGCCAATATTTGAGCACGGCAGCTTTTGTGCCACCCGCTCACTCGAGCGGGCAGCGAAGGCGGCAGGAGCAGCCCATCTCCCGCAGCCTCCAAAACGCCCGCGGGAGGAGGCGACAGGCGAGCGCGCTCTGGAGTTCCAGCCCCGTCGCTGACAACATATCCAGAGCTATATTAAGGAATATATATGTACTTTGCTGAAACATTGCTCAAAGTCAACTCTTAATTACAGAAGATCAGCTTTTACTCGAATCCATAATTTCTTTTAATTTGAAATCAAGCCCACTGCACACAGCAAAAGGGCAAATGATGTAGAAATCTCTCTGCTACGCATAGTCCCCCCTTCTGCCTCACCAACTACAGTTTCCTTCTCCATAGAGCAGGAACAAAACACTCTTGCAACAGACTTTGAAATCTCAGCTTGCAAATGAGGACAAGACTGCAGACTATTACTGTACTATGCTGGTGTAATAATTTATGGCATTAAGGGAACGCCCACATTATCTTCCTAATTCTTTCAGGAGCACAGTAACCTCTTTAAACAACAACAGATTCCTCGGGAACCTTTTTCCTCTCTGCTTCCTTTCAGGAGCAGCCTGACAACAGCCACTTTAAAATAGATTGGTTTCCTTTTCAGGTGAAAAGACCCAGACAGGAAAAATCACTGAACAAAAACCCTTGTCCTGACAAACCTATTTCCAAGTCATCTTACCTGCTGGGTAGGAACAGAAGGAAAGAGATTATGTTCTTAGAGAAAGCAGCAGTTTTAAGGATCTTCCAAGAGACAGGACTTGAAGTAGCCCTGGGACAACAACATTATGTCTAGACTGTGATGTCTGGCAATGGTTTTGTCTGAGGTGGCACTCATCAGCTGAAGTTCCAACCTTTCTGAGATGGCAAAAGCCACCTTACTGCACCAGCCTTCCTGAGCAGAGGCAGAACTGGCCGTCATCGGCCTGGCGACAACCCTGACCACATGTGTTGCAAGATCAACATCCCCACAAGTGACCAGTGACTCCAGGCACCTCACTCATTTACAAGGATCAGCAGGGGCACTGGGACCAATCCAAGCAACTCTTCATGCAGAGCCCAACTTTAAGAGGCAAAACTGCCACTCCAAATTCCACAATCCCCTTAATCAAAAGAATCAGCTCCATCTGTTGCTGTTGGTAGCTGGGTTCTTAACTTGGTTATTTTGCCATCTTGAGAAAGAGGAACTTTATCTTCTAACACAAAGGCTGCCTGGGAGCCTCATGACTTTCTCTATTTATAGGTAATAAATGTTAAACTTCACCTGTTAAAATTCGATGCAATGGCAAAGTGATGTAGGTTAAGTGTGCATAGAGTAGAAAATTTTCATCCGTTCTGTTCAGCTTCAGCCAGGAGCCGACCAGGGACCGTCCTGTTCCTGACAAGGACCGTGACCTCAGGTTTGTTGCGTTGTGCAGGTCTGTCAAGGCATTAGACAATTTTCACAGTGATTCTACTTCCACATTTATTGGTATGTGCAGCAAATATTTCTAAAATTTTTATTTTTATTTCTTAATTGAGAGTCTGACACTCATTTTTAAGAGATAAACTGCATGCAGGTCACGTTATTTTTTAGATCTTGCCTGGCATTTACCACTACTGAAGTTGTTATATCAGCAGCTGGCAGCAGTAAACACTTGTCCTCCAACGGACCAACAAAGAGGCAATAAAACATTTGCTACCAAACTGCACAAGCAGAAATCCTCCCAGCCTTCCCTCATGTACAAAAGAGAAAATCCCTACAATTACATAGTGTGTTTCATACAGAAACACACAAGGGTAGCAGAGGAAGAATTATTTGCATCTTTTACAAGGAAAACAGACACCTGCAAGACAAAGGGGAGAGTGGGCACCAATGAGCCCGATCACTGCAGCTCCTCAAGGCTTCCCCAAGCCAAATCTCAGATCTCCCAGCAACTCCTGCCCTAACACTAGCCCCCAAACACAACTCCTAGAAACTGAGCCCTGAGATCCACAGCACTAAATGCTGATATTAAAATAAACACAATTCTGGACCACAGTAATCCAAGCTCTGGGGTTCATTTGTTCAAATGCAGAGTCCTGAAACAGCAGGGTCCAAACAGGCCCATCAAAATTGTTAAAGAAAATGTAGCAAAAGATGCTTTGGAAGCAAACGGAGCAACACAACAAGTGTCATTTTTCCTACTTCCCTCCTCCTGCATTAAAGGCATTAAAGGCCACCACTGAATTTTCCCAAGCAAACTCGGGTTTCTGCATTTGTTAAGAAATGCATTTTTGCTCCTTCTCCTTTTAGGAATGTTATATTCTTAAACAAATACAGTTTCCTGACATAAGACGTTAAAATACTCCTCTAATCCTACCAAAACTTCAGCTTTGGTAATCCTGCTTGGCTCCATTGCTCAGATTTTAATAACCATAGATTTTTCATAATCATAAACAAACTGAGCTAATAGGAATTTTGGAGGTCATCTGGTCCAGCCTCCAACAACAGCAAAAGTACAGTAACAGCAAGGGCTATATGAAATCATGGATGAGCAAAAAACAGGAGAACATATTTACAGCTGCAAGTGAAGTCACATTTCTCAGTATTTTTATATTTTTATTGACTTTTGTCAATATATTAGGAAGAGAAGAGTGTGAACAGTAACAACACTCATCATGACAATAAAGGGCACCTGGCTCTCTGTTACTGAACATAACACTATCAGTCTATGATTCCTAACACAATTTGTTATATGGAAATTAACTTTTTATTTACCTATTAACTTGCTAATGGATCACTAGATTTGCTGACTTTTCTAGCGATTTTTTTTTCTTTAATATAAGCTGTTTGGACTTTGCCAATTGAGAGTTTCTTGCCTTATAAAACTGTAAAACAATTGGATTCATAAAATGTATTCTGAACCAGTCTCAATCCTTATCTCGCTGGCTGTTTCACACTGAGTAATCAGAATTAAAGGAAAGCTGCACAACATGTTAAACCATTACATGAACAAGTTAATTCACTGGATTTTCTTTTCAGAGAACTGGAATTCAGGGCCAGTTGGAGTAAATGCCTTTTCCATGATTTCCACCTCTGATGGTGCTCACGGAATTCAGAGGACTTCTGCACAACTCTGCTGAACACCCGTGCCTTGCTGTTTCTGGAAGCGCACACTTGGGAGGATGGATAAGCTCTTTCCTGCTTATCCTCCTAAAGTTTCTCTCGAATATTTCACCTGTCTAAAAGCAGGAGATGATTTTCAAACACCTGTAGGAATCACTGGTCTCCAGCTTTGGAAAGGATGCTACACCTGCAGGTAACTCCACTTTCAGAATGACAGAGGCACTCACTTGACTTTCTGGGGAGTTGGGTTTTTTCACCCTACAAACTTTCTGCAGAATCCAGCACTGACCCCTTTCCATGGCCCTGTTCCCTCTCCAGGGGGGTTGGGTTTGCTGCTGCTATCGCTCTCACCTCCACCATCATCATCTCTGAAGAACTCCTCGCTGTCGTTGGCCGAGTGGGATTTCTTCATTTCAGCAATCCGATTTCGGGGCACTTTTCTCTTGAGGGATGGGGAAAAGAAGGATGGGCGGTTGTTGCGCTCTGGGGTTGGCGGCGTGCTGAAAGAGGTGACCTGGAAGGGAAATGGAAGACATGCTGAGGACTGCTTGGTTTACAAGAGTGTTCTGCTTCCACTAACAAATAACCAGTCCCAATATGTGGCACGAGGCAGCCGCATGCAAAATTCACCAAGAATGCCCATCTTATTTTTGAATGTCAAAATTCCGGAGATTGAGTTAATATGAGCACTAGACATACTAAAATTGTTCATCTTCATTCCTTGGGTAAGCACACAGTAGTTGTTTCAGTGCTGAAAAAGATGCTACATGGGATCACAAGGGAAGCTCATGGTGCCTCTGTGAAGCCGGGTCACAGGGAAATCAGCCCACAATGCTGAGGCAAAAGAGAAGTCAGTGCAAGATTATACCACAATTTTCTGTAGGTTAGAGAAAAAAAACAGGTGAAAGGCCACTGATCATGTGGTTAGCCTAAGTGATGGCAAACACAAGGATATAATTGTCCATGGCGAAACATGAGTTAGGTACAAAGCCACACACAGACCCTTCTTTCAGGACAGGGGTTGCTCTTGGGTAAGCCACAATTATAGTTGAACAGATCCATTTCAGGAAGAATTTCGAATGAAGTGGTTATGTGCTGTCTTTGCTAGCAATATTTTTTTTTCCTTCTTTGAGCAACTCCTATCTCCTTTCTTCACACAGTTAATTTAACAATTCCGTAAGCTCCTCCTGGACTGGGATCTCATGCTGCTCATGTGTCCATACGAATAAGAAGAGAAGAGACGTGTTAGTGAGGTGACAGCAAACCTGTTAAGCTGCTGCTGCACTGAATAATCTGTCATCGCTTAAAAAAAAAAAAAAAGCATTTTACCTGTCAAATGATCTTCTCTCTAGCGTACTTGATCTCTAATTTGTGCTTGCCTCAATTTATTTTTAATTCTGTAGCCACTTCACATCACCCGCGGAGGGAGAAATCAGTAACCATTAAAGTCATTGCCAGAAAAGCACTGATAAAACGTTATCACAAAGAAGCCCTAGAAGCCTGGGGGTCAGCAGGGCAGAGCGCTCCCCTAGGCCCAAGTTCTCCAGGTTGTAACTATCCGGCAGACAGCACCTACATCCCGCAGGAGAGCTCTGTCCCAACAGCTCACTTGGCCTTTTAGGAAGCCAGAAAAACACACACACCCCCACCCACCCCACACAGTTTTTCTGAATTATACCGTTTGCCTATATTGGGCAGGAAACCAGACAGAAATCCATTAATAACTACCCTGCCCAGGCCCACATGTGCACATATTTTGAAGCAATTGGCCTAATCCCCATTAATGAGGCAAAACGCACTCACTGAAACAGCGCTCCGAACTGAAAAAGGGTCCAGTCGAACTCTCTGGTATTTTATTTCACTTGTGCTTAATACTAAACATGTGCTTAAATGCTGCATCCAGATGCCCAATTTTTATTTCAACATTATGCAGTCTTTGTATTGAAGTCATTGGTGGCAAAATCTCTTTTATGCAATGTTTCCTTTGAGGTTGAGGAAACAACATACATCAAATACTAATTCTGCATTTCTAGGTAAATCCTATCTGTCACAGAAATGGAACCTATCCATTTTCATAGAAAATAGGCAGAATCATCACTCTCCCTGGCATCAACATCACTGTTGTTTCAATACAGCACTCCTCCAGAAGCCTGAATCATCCACTCATCTCTATTCTCTATTTGCTCAAGGGAAGCTGCAAAAAAGTCCATCTACACAAATTGAATATATTCCAAAACACACAGATAAATTTAACTTGTGATTTAATCCAAACAGTCCATCTACTGGCTTTGAAGCAAGACACGTTCCTGCTTAACTTGAAGGCAGTATTTCTGCCTGCTACTTACTCTCTCATGCACTGGTGATTCTGGATTTGAGTCCTCCTCTGTGCCATAGGGCGAAGTGTCCCCAGTAGGAACTCTGCTCACTGCCATCTCCGCGTGCCCTTTCCCTTGAGGTCCCTTCATTCGGACAAACTCCATGTTGTTATACTTGTAAAAGCCAAAAGACATCCTTTGGGCCATCTTCGCTGCCACACTCACCTACGGCACACCAGGACAGGACAGCAACGCAGGTAAGAGCTCAATGATTCAGAGAGCTACATTCTCTGAAAGCAGCAGTTCAAGTCAAGAACACACCAGATAGTGAGAAATACATTGATTTTTACATAGCATTTTAAACCATCATCTGAGAAGTGATTTTGCAAGACAAAGCCTTCAAAAGTACAGACAGCTTGACTCCCTTCTGTCAGGGGTGAAAATGCAAGCAGATCAGATCTCAAGTTCTGCTTTGGACTGTTAATTGAGTATTTAAAGATTTAATAGCTATATTAAAAAGAGTGAAACAGCAGTGTGGTCAGACAGGATATTCTTCACCTTCAATGTGACAATAACATGCCAAACATTGCCAGTCCACTGCAAGGCTTTCTCCCTGTTTGATCTTTACTGATTTTGCATTCCTGTGCACTTTAATAACCTGCCTGCTAATTGCATGATGCCATAGGGAGATGGCTGGACAGAGAAACAACTTCAGTTTTGTATTCTCTGGAAAAACACCTAGAAGAATATGAGCTATGTGCATTTAAAACAGTGAGATTACTCAGGGCCTTTCCTCAAAGGGGATAGATCAAAAGCAAAGGAACAAAGGGAGACGACAGAGTTCACAGTAGACACCAATTTTAGTTTTAAATCCCTCAGGGTTGTCTTCAGAGCAAGTGTGTGGGTAGTTTATTGCTTCTTGCACTGTCAGCTTCAGCACAGAATCCTAAACTGCAGGTGCTGGCATTTCCCATTTCTACAGGTAAGCAAAGAAAGCTTCTCTGTGAGCAAAACTCCAGTGGCTTTTTGAAAATAACTAGGAGTATGGAATTCACTGAAGAAAAACACATTTTACATATAGGCTAGAGTTTAAAATCTTCCTGTAGCACCTTCCTCCTCTGAGGATAATTAAAAATATCCATTAGCTTTCAGAAAAGTGAAGGGGTTCCCAAGCTCTTTTTATTCAGATCCACTTCTGTGCCACGCTCTTGGGTCCTTAAGAACTTTTTTCCCTTTGGTAAACACCCAATTCTTACACCCTGATCTGGGCAACCTCATCTGTCTGAGCCAACAGAATCAGCTTTTGAGTAGCTTGCAAAGCCCAAAAGGACTGGCTACCACATAGATGACCTAACAGAACAAAAAGTCAGCACTTTCAGTAGCACAAAATTGAGCACGTGTGCATTGTAAAGGACACTGCCCTTCTGAAGCACCTTACCCTGTTGTCATAGACTTTCTTGAGTGCCTCATAGCGGATGGAGCCCTGAAAAATCACCCCCTGGAAGGTGTTGCTTTTGTCACTGGCCACCAGCTCCACACAGACCATTTCTCCTTCACCCACAGTCATGTCACTGAAAACCTGTCAGGGATACAAGATAAAATACTTGAAGGACAACTGCAACTGTTAAAGCTCAAACATATTTAGTTTCCCACAACTCTCCTTATGCCCGGGATAGATGTAAATGACAAAACAAGGGAGCTCTTGGCTCCACCCCAACCTTTTTAAAATACATCGCCTTCAGGCACTGCTCAGGGCAGACCACATCTTGGGTTAAGCAGTGCTCTCACCGAGTCTGTCCTAGTTAGCCCCTCATAAAGACAAATGGCAAAATTCAGCTCTAAGTTCATATTTCAAACTCATTGAAGTTAGAGAAAACTTTAAAAAAAAAATCATTATAGGTCTGGCCCCATAAAAAGTCATGGAAGGAAAGTCCCTGCTGGTCAAGAGCATTCGTCCAAAAAGACACTGAGGAAAAAAAAACACTTGGGTCAGAAGCCTAGAATAAGACAAAGCTCTGCTGCAGCAAGAAACTCACCTCTTCAAAACTGTCAATCATGAAGAAGATGTTGGGGTAGCTGATTTTTGACTCTTCTCCTTTGCTGTCCATGGGGTGCTTGCTAGGAGATGCGAACACTTGCTGAGAAAGATTTGGGAGAAAGGTTACATCTTTCCAGCGAAAGGTAGACAGGAGGAGGTGCGCTGAATACAAGAGAAACAATACCAAGAGCCTACACTCCAACACTGCTCAAGCAAGCACAGTTTTGTCTTATGCTAAAGATGAGAGACACCCTGCAGGCAAGGCTCAACTGGTTTCTGACTCCAGTCCACATTGGAGCGGTTAAAAACAACTGAGGGCTGTTTGTCCTTACTTGCACATATGAAGCCTATGCGAAAATTTAAAGCTAGGTTGCTAAAAAAGGAAAGCTGCTTCAGGGCAAGCAGCAGCATTAGTGAGGCTAACAGGACTCCCCAAAGATTACTCTGTCACCAGTGCATGAAACACAGATGTCTTCTTTTCAATCCGATCGCATGAAAAAAAACAAACTGATCTTGTTAGAAAGCTTATTGTTAAGCCAGAAGAAAATAATAATAATAATAATAATAATAATAATAATAATAAAATCAGTTTAGTCTGCAAAATACTTTTCATAGGAGTTGAATTTTTTTTCCCCCTCTAGTTTTGTGTCTTAATGACTCTACAGGTATGAACAGAGTAGCTCTGGAGTAGCACAGCACACTAGATTCCTGAACAGCATTTCTACCTAATCGATAGCTGGCTACACACTGACAGGATAACATAAACTTTCTAAAACAAGACCTACCAGAGCAGTAAAATAGATCAAAAAAAAAAACAAGTTTAGCTTTTGTTCAGTTAGAGTAAGCACCCTCAGTAGTGCCTGTTACAATTAAAATGTTCTAATTAATTAAATTAAATTAATTAAAATGTTCTAATGCAAATACACCTTCCTTCCACGGTATACAGATTTCCTTTGTCTCCTCCATAAAGAAAGTTCATAATGTGGAAACGCTATTGGTATGTGCTGACGTATTGAAATGTGTGCTGGGTGCCTCCTGGAAAAGGAGACACAAAGAAAAATCTTGGAGTCTCACAGTTTAAGCCACCAGGAATCGAGAGCAAAAACCTCCACATTTGGAATGTTGGGCAGCTCTTTTCTTCTTCCCACCTTTCAAATCTGCACACAATATTTACAGATTATTCTTTCTCAAAGCAATTTTGCTGAAATTAACTGAGGGTGAAAGATGAATTCTGGAGCACAGGGGAAACATGAAACAATGAGAAATAAAAGGCTTATGTCCATTGTGTAAATGTGGCATCTCAGCAACAACAACAGAAGGGAATTGTTTGCCCAAATAATGCAAATTACAAATACCATAACCAGTGTGCTAGCTTGCCTTGTAGGCAAAACACTTGATTTCAAAAGAGAAAACAAAATTAAAGGATAAAAAAAACTCTGTGGCCTATTTTAGGTAAAGCCACACAAGCAGTTGAAGGAACTAAAGAAAAAGAAACCATTTGTGCAACAGAGCCTTTCAAAATAGAATTTATGCCAAGTGGGAAAAGGTGTTGGGAGATGTGTTGGCAAGTGATGTAAGAAATGTGGATTTTCCCATGTGTATCCCATCCCTGCTCATTTTTCAGTGCTCTCTGCTATGTTAAGTCCTATATTAACTGTATGCCACACACGAGCGAGTGCTAAATCCTTTGGTGTGCTGCTGCGAGGTTATGAGCAGTTTAAGTCAGAACAGGCGAGAATCTCAACCTACGCAGTATCAGACAACAGTTGAGGCTGCAGATCATCTAGTCACCTCGAGCATGTTGCCCAGGACCATGTCCAGATGGCTCTTAAGTACCTCCTGAGGATGGAGACTCCCCATAACTTCTGGGGGCAACCTCTTCCAGAGCACAGGCACCTTCACAGTGAGCAAAATAAGTTTTTCCTTATGCTCAGACGGGACTGCCTGAACTCCAGCTTGCACTCATGGCCTCTTACCCCAGTCACTAAGCACCAAAAGATAATCTGATAATCAGCAAGCTGCCTATCATTTAATGACCCTAATAGTAGGTATTACAGACTCACTCTGAAGATTTCCGCATAAAAAACGTTTGCAGCTTTGCCAACCATACAATTTCAGGTTTATCTTCAGATTAGTTAAACAGTTGGACATATCCCCCCAGCACACTCTGCCCAAATCCAGTAAGAAGAGATAACATGCCTTGAATGCTGAAAAGCCCTTACAATCTTCTGAAAGGGAGGCTATCAAGCATAATTAGATCTCAACAGGTAGATGACCAGCACCAGACAAAAACCTGAGCTTCCACAGGTTTTTTCCACAGCCTAGGAATTGCTGACCTGATTTTGATACTGTGTTTTGGATCACATAATATTAGAAGCTAACCTCTAGCCACAGAAATAACATGGTAACCTCACCTGAGATTTCTTTTTGTGAATGTGAATATCTCCTCCATCTGATCGTGTGCACACAGCACAAGTCACCACATAATCCAGCTGAAAAAGATAAACCAGATAGAGAATGAACTCTAACCCTTCATTTCTCTGAAGAAAAAAAAAAATCAGATAAAAAAACTCCTGTCAGCATTGCTTAACATAAGCTCACTGACAGATGGAGGAATAGGCATGACACACAGACTTTTAAGGGGATAAATGGAAAACATCATCGGCCTTGGACAAGGAAAAGAGGGGAACTTCAATGAACATGAGCAACACGTTAGAGTAATCAAAAGCCACTACAACAGCCTACCAAACAACCACAGAAAACTCATATGGAGCAAGTGTGACCGTTCTGGACAGCAATGCCCTGCTGTAACAGCACCTCCAAATTCTGACTGCCGCAAAATTAGTTTTACTTTTATTCATCATCAGACCCTGGTGCAATTGCTCTCTGCAGAGAAGTTTGGCAATGACAGTTTTGGGAGGGAGGAAAGAAGAAAACAAGGCTTCTTCTCCAGTTAATCAAATGGTCTCATATTTTGAGATAATATTCAACAAAACTTATTAGAAATCTGGAATGACTACAGTAATAATCAGCTTCCCAAAACACTCAGTGTGAAAGAACTGAACAATCCATGAGCTAATTAAAAAATAATTTGTGCTAGTGTCGTGTTACCAACAAAAAAAGGCCCACTGAAGTTCTTACAGCAAGAGCAGCAAGCTCCCAGGGCAGTACATTGTACTTTTATGGCTCCTCCACTCAGCAGTTTTCACCCTTACCTGCACCAGGGCTATGTTTAATGAAAGTGTTACTTGTGTAGCAGTCCCATTCATTCTCAAAAACACTGAAATTTAATGAAACCCTGCATTTTGCAAAACTTTTTGTTACTGAGCATAACATTCAACCCAGCTTCACTAGATATAGTTAATTTTTTTTTTTTGCAAAAAGTCAATAGGACTCCACTGAAAAATAATGCATTTCTCAGTTCATTTATGTTCATTTAGTGTCTGAAGCATGAAATGAAAAACAGGTTTTGTTTCTATTCCCCGCAAGTGTTCAAATCTCTCAAGCAAGGGAGGAGAGGGAGTAGATCAAAGCCTGCCCACAGTCTCCGTACCATAATTAGCCTGTTAAAATTAAGTAAACTTCTGTGTAACCTTTTGCAGAATGAGGTTCAGGTAGACACTCTCTTCCCAGTCGATGTCAGGGTCTCCGAGGCCAGGAAGCTTCTTGGAATCTCTGCGGTAAACCTCCACCTCAACCTGCTGAGGAAACACAGGGCCTCTCAAAATGCAGGCTACGAGCACCTCCACCCATGCATGCCATCAACAACAAAACTACAGAAAACAAACCCAGATAGCTTTACAAACAGCAATAAGCTGAACTGACCTAGATAACAAATGCAAAACTTGAGTGCACAAGAGCTGGATGGTGGTTCGTTACTTCAGCAAGCTGCAGCATGGGACCTGATCTAACAAAAAAAGGTGTGCAATGCCAAAGGGGGTTTTCACAGCACACTCAGACAGAGCTATGCACCACCTTGATGGAAGACGTAGAAAAACATTTGTTTCTCTTTCTGAGAGACAGGTATCTTTGCTAACACAAACACATTTGTTAAATTGACAAATGTGATTTGTAAAAATCTGACATTGTGGCCAGATGACAGCTGTAGTGGCAGTTTATGAAACATTCCTCTGTTTTTCTCAGGGCAGAAAAAGAAGGGATCATTAGACAACAGATAACTGAAAAGCCAGAATATGCGATCAAAAGTTTTCGAGGAAATTTAGCTTCCTAAGTTAACCTTAGGCAGGCTAGCTTAACCTTACCCTGGTGGAGAGGAACCTCATGAGGCTCAACAAAGGCAAGCGCACGGCCCTGCGCCTCAGAAGGAACAGCCCGGGCACCAGGAGAGGCTGGGGGTGACCTGCTGGAGAGCAGCTGTGCTGCGAGGGACCTGGGGACGGCAAGCTGAGCACGAGCCAGCAGTGTGTCCTGGGGCCTAGGAGACCAGAGGTATCCTAGGCTTAAGGAGAAAGATGAGAGCTGAGGGAGCCGATCCTCCTCAGCCCTGCTGAGGCCGCATGTGGAGTGCTGGGTCCAGTGCTGTGCTCCTTGGTGCAGGGGGGACATGGCACGATTGGAGAAGCCCAGTGTGGGGCTACAAAGACCATCAGGGCACTGGAGCATCTCTGCTGTGAGTGCCTCCCAGCACCCTCAAGTCCCTGCAAGTCACTGAAAAACTCTCAGAAATAAATCTATTATCAGAATCAATACAGGCTGTCAGCAGGGAAGCAGCAGCACAGGGGGGACACCTTGTACAAGCAGCAGCACTTTGGTGGCATTCAGAACCAATGCAAAGCAGATTCTGCCTTTCTTTCTGCTATGTAGCCATAGCACTTCTCACTACTCTACACCACATTTGCTAAGAAACCATAAGCTGTGATGGGGTGGCAGGCGTGAAAAGGAGAGGAGGAAGGGCCAGCATTCCAGACTTTCCACAGTGTAACTTAAAAAGTTTGGGTAGGAAATGCTGCTACTCTCTCCAGAGCCAGATGCAGGACTGAGGCTGATGTTGGACTTCTAGGTTGTCACACTGCCAGGTTTGAGGCGCAAAGACAAGAAAGAAAACCAGCAAAAGTTTATTTCAATGACTGGACAACATCTTGCACCAATGCAGAATTATTCTTTGAGAGATCTTCACTAGAGCATGTTTTTAGAAGGCCCCACCACACACCGCAGTACTTCCTGCTATTCTGAAGCCTAGCGTGGCTTGTAACTTCAGAAGCATCTTTCTCACATTTATCCAAGTGTCCCTATAATTCCAAACGTTATCATCTTAAATCCTACCTGAATTAAACTGTCCGAGTTCACCGAGCAAAGCAACCAATACCCATTTCTTCCATGCTTCAGTCTTCCTCCCTTGTGCAACAGTCCTATTTTGTTCTACTCTTTTCTGCCACGTTATTTCCAGCCACCCGTTTTGCTCTCCTCGTTACCACCTCCCATTATACCCGTCTCTTTTTACCTTTAAGTGGCAGATACCAGATGCTGTCATTCCCCATAGGTACAACACAGACCTCGCTGGCAGGACGGCACATGTTGCTTGTGCTCCGTTCCCTGGGCACAACGCGACGCTTCGCTGCTGGGTACCGAACGTTTCGTACTCCACCGATACCCACTTTGGCACACCTCACTGTACAACTGCTCTTTTCGGTGTGTGTCTTCCTGCCTGGAAGTGCTAAACCTACAGCTCGAGACAACCTCAGAACTCGGACACCAGTGGCGACGTACGTGCAACAGCACCAGCCTGGCTCAGGTCAGCAACTCCATCCTTATTCCCTCCAGCAGCCTCACACACAGCACTCGTTCTGGGGCCTGAATCAGCAGCCACGTGGAAAGCAATGAGCTGTTTCACGGTCAGCAGGCACTTACACACCCTCTGCACATAGGGGGAACTGCTCCCCAGGACACACCAGACACCGCCTGTGTCCTCATCGGAAGGGCTGTCCCACATGACTGCGATCCGTGGCTGCTTTGCTGCCAAATTCATATATAATTGATACATAGTGATGCTTTGCACTACACAATGCATTGAAGTTGGAAATTTCGGCTGTGAAAGATGACGACATTTTATCAGCATAATTTGTCACAACTGAAATCTTCCTCTTAGGAAAATGAAAGATCACTTAAAAGAAGAAAAAAAAGAAAGAGGAAAATATTTAAAGTATAACAGAGAAGTGCTGCTAAATGTTAGAAATCAGTTTAGTCAGTATACTTTGGCCCTTCTTTTTCTTGCTGGAAATCAGTGAAATAGTTAATTAGGGCTTGCAAGCAGCTATGAGCAGCTGCAAGGCCTTGCGACCAGCAATTTTCACAGAAGCTGCAAGGTCAACACGACACAATGTAAGCCCTTATCTAACTGCAAAACATAAGTGGGAACAAATTTAGACACTGGTTATATGTCAAAAATATCCAGGAAAAACACTCTGACCACCTCACGATTCCACCTGGGTATCAAACAAGCCCATGGGGCTGCTGAGTTGGACAAAAGTCGTCGTGGGCCTGCAGTCAAGCGCTCCCCTCAGGCGGAGATACCACCAGAGGTAACTCCTGGAAGCCGAGAGCCCTCTCCATTTTGGTTGATTTCGGGAACTTGGCCTTTTGATTCGTCGCAGGGTAGAAGTTTATGCTCACACTGACATCTGAGCTTGCTAACCAACTTGCCTCTGGCTGTTTTACTCAAGACTATTCTAAATCATCTACCACAGCATAGTTTCAACATGTCTGACCTCTTTAGACATGAACCATTGGCCAAGCCCGAGACTAAGCCTGGATGCCACCACAAGTGTCCTCCTTGCATGAGGAGTTTGGAAAGCAAGGGGGTCCCTTCTGAACCTCCTGACCCAACGGCAGGGCCTCCACACACACACTCCCTTAGGCATAAACTGCTGACCAGATCCGGGACTAAGCCTGGATCTACTCCAGCGGATCTGACTTGAACCCTGACTCAAACAGGAGGGCTGCCCAACCATCCCCTTCCTTGGTTTGATCACCAGAGGCTGTACTGCAAGGGCCAGCTATCAAGCAATGCCAGAAAATAAACACTCAAATAACCATAATTAGCTTCCCAGGCTGGGCAGAACATTTAAACACCTTTTTCTTTCTCAATTTTATGAGCACATGCATTGCAAATAACTTGAAATACTGAACATGGCACTAGGAGCACTACTATATCAGGACAGTTCAAAGGGAGATATGTTAGAACAGCACGTTTAAATTAAATCTGAAGTTTTCTACCAAATCTAAATGGTCAAATGGAAAGAACAAACTTTAGGGCATAAAGCCATCTTCTGCTCCCGCTGTCCCCTTCCCCCGTCCTCCTCTCCAAAAAGACATATATATAAAAAATCTATTTTTCTTTAGGGCATAAAGCCATCTTCTGCTCCTACTGTCCCCTTCCCCCGTTCTCCTCTCCAAAAACACATATATAAAAAAAAAAATCTATTTTTTCCCCAGCCTACACAAAGTCATGACTTATCGCTCCCAAGCATCATCTCACAAGTACGTGGAAATGTACCGTTGCAATCTATTCACAGCAAAATATGCATTTTTGGACTTGCACCAATCTGCATCATCTCCATGACTAATGTCACCAAGGTTATCCCCAATACTTTGTAGGCAGCAGTGAGGTGGTGATCAGCAACTGCAATGCCACTTCTCTGCAGCTCCAGGGCATTTCTGAAACCACCAACCCAGCACAACTGGGAAGGGAAAGATACTATTATCCCAGGAGCCTCTAAGACTCTTTGGTGCAAGAATAAGAGATTTCTGGGGAAAAATAAATAAATCACCAAATGTGGCCTGGAAGTCAAAAGTTCCACCTCCAAGCCTTCGGCTCATATCTGCTTGGCATACTAGGAGGAGACTGGGAAGACACTGTGTTTTTGTGTTTTGTAACAGAGGCTTCCAAGCATCATTGCCAACTGCACAAGCAATGAGACAACACGAACTGATCTCACCAGGTCACCCATGACAACCCATCTGCTCACTCATCCCCTCAGAACTGATGGGCCTGCCTCTCTAAACAGGAAAAAAAGAGAAGTTCAGCATTTTCTGGAGAACAGAGAGAAGCCCCATGGGCAGGGTGCATCCCCCAGTCCTACCACATGGAGGAGCTGCAGAGGGACCACTGACATTAACAACAGATAACACTCGAGCTTGCCCAGATATTTATCCAAGGCAATACCTAGAAGGGAACAAGGGTATTTAAAAACACAACAACACACTAAAAAGACAACAAGTCTTTTACGGGTCTTACGAAGCTTTGATCTTAAGAGTTATGGGCTACTGTGATTTTTATTGACAATGGCCACAGAGGACAGTGACAAGAAAGCCCTCCAAAATAAAATTCCAGCTCCCTTTTCCTGGATACTATTATTTAGAATGAGCTCCTGGAAGGCAATCTGAACCCCACAAAAAAAGGCCAAACAACTCCCCATAGCTTTTAGCAACCAGACACTCACCTTAGCTGTAAAGCTGAAGCCCACTGCAATAGAGCGGCTGGGAATTGCTTTGCACGAGAGGTAAAGTTCAGTTACAAACAGAACATCCACTCTGTTATTTGCTTAAATATTATTTACTTACAATCCTCTCCCCACAGCTTCCTGGCTACAATCAAAACCCATATCAACAGGATTAGTCATAAAAGATCTAAAAAGCTGCCTTGACTTTACAGAGCCTCCAGATAAACCGCACCAGCAAAAACGTATTCCCATTTCCAGCACCTTATGGAGGTTCCTTCCAAGGTCTGAATGGGATATGAGAATCTGCTCATGATTTTAGACTCCCTCTTCCCTTTGCTGAGGAGAGAAATGCTGGGTGATTGTAACTTCTGCTGCTCATCCACAATCTACAGGTGAGAAACTCTGCAGAGCAGATCATCCCAATATGCCCAGTATTCATGCCCTACTGCAAACATCACATTGACATTTAGTTCATGACTCAACTTGGGAGATTTGCAGCAAACACTGCATGAATTTGAAGGCAAGGGCACGTGAGGGTGTTTTCTGGTGGAATGGCAGCCTTCACGTGGCAGCCTCACGATGGTTGATGACACATGGAAACCATTCCTGCAATAGCTGCGGTTCCTCCTCCATCGCACGCTCATCAGGAGTGCTGTGTTCAGGACGGCTCCCTCGCAACATGCTGCTTACATTGAACAGCAAACAAACTATTCACTCTGCTTTGTCCTTTTTATCTGTAAATAAAAATTTGGGTCTGGAATCAACTCAGGTCAAATTCACCCAGACAGCCTTGCAGGAACAGACCCTAAATTCCTGTCCTGGAGATTATGTTTTTGTTTGAATAAGCAGATGAACTTGTTGCCAAATGTCTTCTCAGCTCCTGTCCTCTTTCTCACCTCCTGTGCAATATAATTTCAGTATTACAGCAGTCACTCAAGTGAACGTGGGATTGCTGGACAGAAAAGTGTGGACAAGAGAGAAGGAAATCCCACATTCACGTAACTGCTGTGATACTGAGGTCCTAAATACATTTCTTTTTTTAAAGACTGAAGTGAGAGTGACAATTACAAATAAGATGGTGAATGCTGAGGAAGGCTTAAAAAACCCACCTGATTGTATAAAACATTTCTATTTGGTACAAATACCCTCAGGGCAGAAGAACACACGGTAAAAACTTAATTTTACATTTTGTTGTCATTTAAAGGCTCGACATGCCATTATGAAGCTGGACAGATACGTTCAGAAAGACATTTACAAGAAGAATCATTTATATGATTAACAGCACTATTGTCTTTTATTCCTGAGGACTGGTATCAGTTAAGGAGATTAAAAAAAGCAGCAATTTCACCGTATCTGATAATGTTCAGCACAGCTTCCAGTCACCTAACTTTAGTGTGCATCAGGCAAAGAGCTGAAAGCTTATTCAGGAATTTTGAAAGAGAGCAAGACAATGAGATTTACCCCCTCATCTCTAACAATCGAGTAGCATTTAAAACTCAAATCCTTAAGATCAGCATGAAATAGACAGCTTGGGAGTTTTGCCTTGTGCTGCTTAAGGAGTATCTTTGGAGAGAAAAGCTCCTAGCACTGTGAGCAGCAGCGATGCAGGGCTCTGCACAGAGCCAGCCACGCGGCTGCTTCAACTGCAGCGCTCACATGCTGCGTGGTGACCACGTGGGTGACCCCCGAGCAAGCGCTGAGAGCACGGCTGAAGGAGCAGCCCAAGGAGGCTTCCAGGATGCTCAGAACCCTTTCCAAGATCATCATTTCCTCACCGCGGCACCACACAGGTATTTCAGCTGCATGCTCGCTTTGCCCTGGACACAAATCCTACCCTGCAAACAGCTTTGTGAATAACTACCATGTTCTGCCCTAGTGAGCGGAACAGGGGCACTGGGACAGAAGCACTGTCCCGCTACATGGATTTGTGTGGGGCGAAAAGCCTGCACGTTCCCGAATGCCATCCGCGTGTGGCCGTGCATTCGAGTGGGCGAGTGAGGGTGCAGAGTTCGGCCACTTGCTTCCCGCTGCATTCAGAGCGCGGCGCGAAACTGCCCCAAGTTGCCTCCAGCTAAGCCCTTCTGCTTGTTACACTGTTATGGAAAAGAAAACCATCAGAAAACCAAAAAAACGGTCTGAATGGTACAACCGGGACAGCAAAGTAAGTGTTATATACCCCCCTGCATTTCTGCTGCATGCTGTTCAGGCTGTTGATCTCCTCCAGCCAATGCTTGCCATGCCAGAGGTCCAGCTGTACATAACCGTATAACCGATGGCTCGCGGCCAGCTCTGCTCCTGGGGCTGCAGCCACAACACTGGTCCCTTAAACTCACGGAAGATCTCAGAGTCAGAGGGATTCCTTTGCAAGTGCTTGGCAGAAGCGGAACAGAAGGCGAAACAGAACGGGGCAAGCTCAGAAGATGCCCTGAGGGTGATGTTCCCTTTCTCACTTGTTGCCTTTATCTCAGCCCCACGGGTGCAGCACTCTGCCCTATGGGAGCAGCACGCTCCCCAGGGGGCAAAGCGCAGTGCAAGACTGAAGAGGTCATCACAGCGTTGCTCTGCTAGTGTATTGCTCTTCGAGGTCTTTTATCTCGGCTTTCCTCTCCAGCAGTCTTCCTCAAAACCATACTAGTACCTTCTTTAATCCAATGACAGAGTAAAGCTCTTCCACAGAAGGGATCAAAAGCTTGCAACTGTAACACAGTGTAATCCTACATAAATGCATTGGAAAGGGGCAGAGATATTAAATCTTGGATCTAATACCATTTTAAAATCAGAATCCCAAGCCCAATCACTTTAACCTCTTTACAGCTTTTGGCAATGCATAAGGCTCTTTGGAAGGGAAAAATCAGGGCTTGTATTTTCACCTATTAGCTAGTGTGTGAGGTAGCAGTGAAGGGATTTTTCTTATCTTGACATAACAATGCATAAAAGGCCACAAGGTAGAGGAAGTGCACCTTAAACACCAACAAAAATAACCCTAAAAGAAACTACTGAATCTCTTAAATTTGAAACAGGAACTCCCCACAACAGCCTGCCTTTCCTTAAACCAACAGATGGGTTCTGTGATTTCGCTCAGAGACAGAGAACAAGGATCTTTAAAGCTTGGGAAGGAAATCTGCATGAGTGGCACTGTGAAATGCCAAGGAAAAGCAGCACTGAATGCACTTCTCAAAGCCAGGAGTCTGGGCAATGACTGTAACTCAGAATTAGGTCTGGTCCTTCTGCTCTAGCACAGACCTTATTAAGAGCTTAATAAATCAGTAAAGTGGAAGAAATGCAAGACCAAAATCTCCAGAGCCAATGTGGTCTAAAAGCAGACCATCTTGCATCTCAGTCTATCATCATCATCTATGGAGACCGACAGAAAATTGAGATCCTTGTTTCAAGCTGCTGTCACTAGTAAAGCTGAATTCAGCTCCCTCTCATTCAACCTTAAACAGAAGTCGGCCTAGCAGGGCGTTTTTCCTGCTCATCTTTGCTCCATTACACTTTGATTTTACAAACAAATGTAAATGCAGTTTTAAAATGTTATTGTTGATGCCCTTCAGCTCTTGAAGGCATAGAAAAAAAAAAAAAAAACCCACCACACAGGCATCAACGCCACCTAACCACAGAAGACAGCCACCAAAACCTGAGAACTGGCCAATAAATTGCCACTTCTTTCTTGCTGACAGGGGAACCACCACATCATGGCAGTTGTTACAGGAAGTAATTCAATAACACTGACTTTTTAATAGCCTCCACTCCTGATAACTCTCATAAATCAAAAATATTTATGGTCCTTTTATGAGGCTTAAACAAAGCTGTTAGAAGAAATGCAAGGATTTGTTTCACTGTTGCCTTCCCTTGGGGAAAATGAGTAGGTTTAAACCCTTTAAGCATCAGAAAGTGGTCTGGGGTCTGAACAAATTGGTCTAAGTGCCCAAACTTCTTCAGAGTTGCCTTCCTTGCTGGGCAGAACAAGAGGTTAAACAGCTCATGTTCTCATTAGGATAAACAAAGACATACTATTGCTTAATGTGTAGCAGGAACGAAGCTGTGGTCATTCAAAAGATGATGAGGAACAAAGTTTCCTCTGCAGTTTGTAAAGTTAAATATACTCCTCCGAATCCCCCACCAGAGACTGCAAGCCCCCTAACCTGACAGGGGAAAAGAGAAGTATTTTATTCTCCATCTCCTCCTTAGCATCTGCCATGATGGAACTTGAGGTGGGAGTGAAGGAAGGAGGGAGAAGATACATCATCTTATTTCATGCATCTCCAGTAAAAAATTCAGGAAGCGTTTCAGGATCCCTTTAACAAGAAAATCAACAACTGCGTTCCTTAATGCTGCCGCATTTTCACCCAGAAAGCTGAGTGTGTCTGGTGTAGAAACAAACACGCACACACCATCCACGTACTTATGATTCAACAGCACTGTAGGTAAGTTACTTCCATAGGCAAGCAGAAGAAGTTTCCCCCAGTGAAGGGGAATATCTGCCATGAAAGGCTGAGAAATTTGACAGCTATAACTAGAAATACCTGTGCAGGAGCTGACTAGTTGTTTTACAAAAAAATATTTCTGAAGGAGTGTGTATTGTCTTAAACGGGTATTATGCGCCTGAAAATACAGCAGTTGCTTCACTATTTGTCACTACCACATCCAAGTTCCAGGAGCCTGCACATGTTCTGCTACTGAGCACCCAACAGATCCCAGGTGCTCTGGTATCTTAGCATAAATCCTTTCTGAATTACTTCAGTCAACCTCCTCCTTTTACCCTCTTTCCTCAAGATTTAAACTTGCAATTTAAACAGTATTACAGATGCAAAACAAAAATTGGTGTGGGTGCCCCTCATTTCCCCTAAGGGCAGGCTCACCAACATCACCCTCCAAAAGCATCACTGCATCTCCCTGAGCTCGTACGAGCGCAGCCCATTCGCACCGCTGCTGTCTGCGATGGTAACCACAGTATTTCCACCACAGGTGGGCAGAGCTGCCAGTTCCTCAGTGCTGGTCAGCAGCTCTGTAGACGCAGCTTGCACTGTACAACACCAAACCCCATGTTACCTTAAGCTCCTGAGGTTAAAACACATCATTAGTCACTCACCTTCTTGCTCTCTGTGCTGTCACTGCCAACATAGGCCAGCTTTCGACGGACATAGAAGAGCATATCATCCTGCCTGGGGGCCCATTTCTCCATAAAATAAGTTGAGAACATCCAAGTCCAGAACACGATGCGGTCATCTTTGAAGCACCCTAAGAGACACAAAAGAAAGCAGAAATAATTTAAGCACGACAATGTGTTAGGCACAATGAGAGGTGACGCGGTCCCTCCACCACACCCGAAGTCCCCGCTGTGTGTGGCACAGTCAGGCCCAATCCTCACAGAAATGCAGCTGTGCAGCTCATCCCTGCTAAAATGTGTTGCTGTGATCTCCCTCAAACCACTGCCTGAGAGCAAGGATGGATCCACATGGGGTTTACTGGAACCACCATCTTTGAGAAGGAGAAAAAATAAAACACAAAAACTTTACCAGACAGGGGTGCATAATGGACAACACAGCTCCCAAAATAGCTCTCACTTCCAGGGGCGCTGTAGGGTGCCCTAAAGGCTGTAGACCGGCTGCCAGATTCATACGTGCCTATCTCCCCTCACTCCTCAGCTCCCTTTCCATCCGGGGCACCTCCCTCCCTGCAGCATCTTGCACATATGAAAGACTTCTGCAGAGAGAAGACGCTCGCATAAGAGGGAAGCAATACTTATTTACAGCAATAGCAAAATTAAGCTTCAGGAGATTTGCTAGACAATTGCCAAGAAAGCTGACATATCCTGCAGTGACAGTGATCTTTCTTGCATGCCAGCAGCTGATTTTACAGCCTCACAAAGCTACCAATCTCTCAGTCCACACGGGTAATTCAGCACATTTTCCTGTTTCATTACGTGCGCAATATTTGCAAGCCAAATCTTTCTTCCAATCTCTCATGACTGTGGTGGGCAGGAGATCAGACTTTCAAATCTTTCAGGGTACAAATGGGTGATTGAAGTAAAAGTCCCATGTCTTTGCAGCTGAACACAAAAGCAATACTGAAAGCAAAATGAAATTCCACTGTAGGACTACACACAGAATATTCTAAATCGACATCAAGAAAGATGATATTTGAAAACCTGATTTTAAAAACAAAACCAAAAAGCAATAATGAAAACATGGAAAGATGAGAGAAAAAGGCCAGAAGATGGCTAAGGTTTCCAGCACAGGTTAATATGGGGACAAGTCGCAATCGCTTTATTTGAATAGCTGTAGAGCGAAGTCACTGTGCCCATCTGTGCCAACACAGAGCATAATACGCAATTGTAAATCAAATTTTGGCGGAGACTATAAGTAGCAACTAGTTTTGCCAGCAGAGATGAGGAAACAAGTGCTGGAGAGATGGGATCTGGATTACTGTGCGTGTGCTCCACCTGAAGGCCTCCCTCGCACGCAGGGCCATACATAAGCAAACATGTATTGGGGAACACCACGCAAGAGGAGACACAGACGTGTTCAGACTCCCTAGGCCAGGCTTGTCATCCATCAGCATATCCACGTGAGCACAAAGATGACAGGAGAGTTATTCAGGCTTAAGGATATACTGCTGACACAAGGAGAAACGGCTCTAAGCTACATCCCCCTATATTTAGGTTGGGAATCAGAAGCAGCCTCCAAAGCACTCAAGGTTCAGGAAGAGCCTCCTGAAAAGCAGGAGCGAAGGCCAAAATCAGGACAGTTTCAAAGCCGGAGCTCAGCTTGTTTATGAAGGTGGATGTGGCAACGGCAACATCAGAGGACAGCACGACCCCGTCGTGGCTCTATATTTAGCAGAGACTAGAGAACAGGGCACAGAGTCAATGTGATTCATTAGTGGTCTCAGAGAAACCCATTAAATCTGCAGGCTTTGGAGCATCTGAATGCAGGCCCTTAACATGGAACTAAACGGAGAAGGTGCAAAAGGTTGAACTCGTCCTGATTTTCTCCAGAGTTTTAGGAGAATGAATGAAAATAATAAAACATATAGCTTAAGAAATATCTCATAAAAGCTTCTAGTGTGAAGGGAGTGTGGCACTTCCTTCAAACATAGCTTTGTTTCATAAATAAGCACATAAAATAAGTCCAGCCAAGGCATTCTTGAAGAGGAAACAGTCTTTAAGATCTATTATAAAATGGCATTAGCTTAGAAAGGAGGCAGGGAAAAAAATGTAATTCTCCTCCAGACTGTTTAGAGGAAAAAAAAAAAAAAATTCAATTTCATTGTAAGCCAGAAACTGCCACATCCCATAGACCCATCCAAGTTCACCTTCAACTATCAGATCCCCAAAAGCAAGGCCTAACTTCACGGTTATTTTGGTGGTTCAGCCCTTATCACTGGAAGCCTTCCAGCTTTGCTAAGTCAAAAGCTGCTTCTTGGAAACTGCTTTTTTTTTTTTTTTTTTTTTTTTTTTTTTTTTAAGTATTTAGGTTTTTGTTTTGGGAAATCGTTTGGGAAGGGCCTGGCTAACAGCGTGGATGGCAAAATTGTTCTTTTTAATATAAAGGGCTCAAAGAGTGGCCTTGTCAACATGACAGCAGCCCAAGCCACCAACATAGGCGGCTCCCAGATGGATTACTGGCCTTAACCTGCTACTGGTAGCCTTGATACAACCTTTCTGCCCAGCAGCAAGGGCTGAGATAAAAAAAAATAAAATAAAAATAAAAAAGGACTATTTTTCTTTTAAAATCTGGAGACTCGTTGAGTTTGAACAAACTTCCTACCACTTAGGTCCATCCCTGGGTTGCGCAGACCTCAGATGATTATGAAGGACACAGATGCATACACATATGTTACTGTTAAGTTGAAATAAGACCTTTGGCACTTAAAAATCCTGAAGAATTCAGCTTCAGTGTTTGGGGAAGTACTCATAAGATGTTGAGGACTTTTTTTTTTTTTTTTTTTGACAGAGGAGAATTTGAGCCTTTTGCAACAATGTTGGAGTGCCAACAGACTGCAAAGGAGCCAAACCATCTCCACTGCAGGGCATGCAGCACGACAGCTTCCTGCAAACACTCCTCCCCTAACAATGGGGAGGAGTACTTATGTACTTCTACATAAGTAAAACAGAATTATAAATTCAGACTATAAGTCTTAATACACCAGAAGTCGATTATGTAATTATGAGACCTTTGTAATGAATAAATCCTAATTACAACAATTTACTGCAATGATTCATTTACATGGTTTTTATCCTCATTAGAAACAAAATTTATGCCAGCTGCTACAGAATGTCTTTCTTTTTACCTATTAGATTTTATACCGAGCATTCATTTCAGAGACAGGCTCCACATAATAAGATCCACATAAGTCACTGAGGGTTTTTTTAAAATAATAATTAGTGCTTTCAAAAAACACCGGTCAATGAAAAGAAGTGTCAGTATATTATTTTTCTTCAAAGGAAGAGAAGCAAAGATTTCCCATTTGCTGGATAATCTTTTTTTCAGCATTTATAACGCCAAGCTCAGAGGAGCAATTATTTCTGCTAGACAGGGTTTCCAATGCTTTATTCCTCTAGTCAGCAACTCTCAGCTGTGAAACACTGCACAACTCACTCCATCCAATTCTGCCACAGTATGATCACCTGTGAAATAGGCAGTCCCTCTTCCTCAGACAGGCTAAAGGATTATGAAGATCTTTACAAGTCCAGACTGGAAAGAGAGAGAGAGAAGCCTGAACTTCTCAAACTGCAGTTAGTTTTGTTTGAGCTCAGCAAAGCTCTCTGCAAGGATAATGTAGTAAGTGCTTAGCACAGACACTCTACTTGGTCCCAGGCATAACCCTTCCTTATTCTTGACTCTTAAAACTAGAGGTAACACTAGGTTCTCCTATCCCAACAGGTATCATATGCACAAGTCTGTTCAGGTAATATGAAGAGAATAAAGAGAATGTCATTGAAGACAAGAAAACTATTTATGATCTATATAGCACATACTGCCTTCTCAGTAGATCACAGTATCTCATGAAGAAGGGCTGAGAGCAAAGGGAATCTAGTTCCAAGCCAAATGAAGAAAAACTGTCTAATTCAAAGGGTCTTTCCTTTCCTACCAAAGGCTTTCTAAGAATACATTCTGCATCACCCTGCCACGCTGGCACACACATATCTCATGATTCTTACAGTGACATTATGCATCACTTTAAACCTTGGCTTCATGGCATATCTGCAATAAGAGTTGACAAAAATCAAAAGAAAAACAACAAAGAACAGCTTCAAGCCTACGGTGAATAATCTTAACAAGTTGCAAAAAAAAAAAAAAAAAAAAAAAAAGGCCAATTACCTAGGCAAACTACAGCTGCAGTGCCATATTTACTCATTTTTCAACAGCTGGTATTATATTTCTCATATTTGTCACCTTTTCTACGCATAACTAAATGGTTATGCTATTGCTGTCATCCCCAAAACGAATACTCAGTTTTGGCACACACCTAAATTAAAAGCCTTCCTTCACCAGCTAATAGCCACAAAGGTTTGAAATAATATGAGCCAGAAGCTGCCACACAAATCACACACAAATGTGCTCCTTTGGGCAGCAGGGGAAGGATATAGATATTACTGCGTGCAGGAGCTGTCTTCTATCAAGTTAAATGAACAAATCCGTGCTCCAAACCCCCGACATTCAAAGGAATCCAGTTTGTTTTCAGCAGATAGCTTCAATTTCTTAAAACACAGAAGTGATTCAGGGCTCATTAAACACTGGTGATGCTTAATCCTTATGCCAAAATAAATGATAGCAGACAAATGCATTTCTGTTCTAAAAATTTCAAAATAGTTTTCCTGGGATGCAATTGGGGTGACACCATGAGACCACATCAAGATGCCTGCCTAGATACTCGTCATTGCATGGGGCACATTTGTGCCACAAATGCTAAGGTTAACAACTCTGGATTTCAGTATAGCACTGGTTCTAGCCACCTAGACAGCAGAAAGCTCAGTGATCATTTCTCTTCACTGACTTAAAGCCTTATTCAACATTACGTGCATGTCACCAACAACTAGCTTCCTGACTCCCTGGAAAATTTGAAATAACTCATTTGTATTACAGCATCATTTGGGATGTCATGGGCAAGCTCTTAATCCACAGAATTAAATACATAGAAATAATCCACAGAAATTCAACTTTTTCAGTATCTCTCGAGGTTTACAAGTGTAGATTCTTCTCAGCTAAGAATCATCCATGAATGACCGATGCCAC